GTGTGGGGAGAGGGTTTCATGTGGGGAGAGGGTTTCGTGTGAGGAGAGGGTTTCGTGTGAGGAGAGGGTTTCGTGTGGGGAGAGGGTTTCGTGTGAGGAGAGGGTTTCGTGTGGGGAGAGGGTTTCATGTGGGGAGAAGGTGCTGTGGCGGAGGGACAGAGGGCCAGGGTGCACTGCAGAGGGGTTGGCTGCAGGGCAGGGGGGCGAGCGCTGTTCTGTCCCTCTGCATGGAGATTGCCCCAAGGCCACCCCGTTACCAGAGTCACCCCCTTGCCACAACACCCCCTCCCCAACCCCAGGGTGGGGAGTTGCCCCCCAGTGTAGGGGAGGGCTCCTTGCTGGGGGCTGTATCCCTAGCGCCCAGAGGAGAACCGGGAGCGCCGGGAATGCTGGCGGTGGCCCAGGGGCTGGATGCTCCCACGGGCCAGGCACAGCCCTGTGCCTGGCAAGGGAGCAGCCTGGAGGGAAGCCCCGCTCCTTCCAGGGCACAGCAAGGCCTTCCGCAGGCTGCAAATGGAGGCGACAGCACCGGCAGGCCGGCGCGATTCCGGTGCTGCCGTCTAGTGGCTTAGGGACGGCTCCTGCATGGAGGATGCACAGGAGGGGACTTCTCCCCAGCTTTATGCTGTTGTGAAACAGGTCCAGTCTCTACCACTTTCCAGCCCTCCCCTGCCCCAGCTGCAAACCCTATATTTAGCGGCAAGAGAAGCTGCAGGGATACAATGCTCTTACCTGCCAGTGTGGCAAAGTCCCGCTCTGCAGCCTGTTTCCAGCAGCCCCAGACACACCGTGACCCGGAGAAGCTCCTGGTGCCCGTCAGAGCGCGGTGCCAGCCCCAACAAGAGGCAGCACTGGCAGCACAACCTGCGGAGACGCCTGGGGCTGCTCTGGCTGCTGGTTTCTGCCACCGGCTCCTGCCGCTTGCCCAGTGCACCAGCAGTTCCTCTTTCCCTCCGTGCCCCGCTGGGTGCCCTGCCTGTGTGCCCGGCTGCAGCAGAGCCCCCCGCGTGCCCAGCAAACCCTCATCCTCAGCCCAGCTTTGCTTGGCCACATCCTGAGGTCCACCCAGGATGGACCTCATGGCAGTGTCAGTGCTCTACATGTCCAGGGGATCACCCTGCCTGGAACCCGGCTCCTTCCCACAGCGCTCTGCATGTCCAGGGGATCACCCTGCCTGGAACCTGGCTCCTTCCCAGGGATATGGAGGTGTTCGGCCACCCCCTGCCAGATCCGGTGGCCAGGCCAGGCTCTTCTGGCTTGTGGACAATGCCCAGACATCACGGCAGTGCATACAGGCTGCAGCCGCCCCTCCATTGCCTCCAACTAACCCTTTGCTAAAGTACATGTGGGAGCAAATCCTGCAGAGCCCCACACAAGGAATCACACAGGGAAAGGCCTTGGGACAGCTGTGTTGAAAGCTCTGGGCTCCGCTATTAGGAGCAGCTCCCAGTCAGCTTTCAAGCATCACCAAACCCTTCTAAACAACTCTGCTCCAAGAGGAGTTTCCGTCTTGCTGGAGACACGGCGCGGCTCTTGCTGGTGCCTCCTGCATGGCCAGCTCCTGTCACACCTCTCCCTGTGCTGCTATTCAATGTCTGCACCATGGGCCCTTCTCCCAGGCCTTTATAAGCCCATGTCCCTCAGATCTCCGGTCAGAAGCAGCTTTGCAGAGTTTCCTAACTCTGTATATGCAGTCTAGAAAGCAAAGCTGTGCAGAGCCCCAGGCCAACAGGGAGTATGTGGCTCAGTGTTGGTGCCCTGGACGCCTGGTGCTGGAGAGCAGCCCCCAGCAGCTCCCCATCAAACACCCGGGTGGGACTGAGCCGCGCAGAGGACTCGGAGGTGAGCAGATATGTAACTCTGGTCTAAAAAGCAGGCAGTGTGCAAGAGGCATCTCTGAGCGTGAAGGGGAAGTTGCTCTGATGGTGGCTCAGATGTATGCAGATACATAGCTCTAGTCCAAAAAGCAAGCAGTGTATGAGAGGATATCTCCGAACAAGAAGAGGAAGTTACTTTGAATCATATGAAGATGTTTATTTTGATTAAATAAAAAAAAAAAAAAAGATTTTCTAACCAAGCAGTTCCTCCCTTTGGGCTAGGTTGCCCTTGCACAGTGGCTGACGGGGGCTCGCTCTGCAGACACACAGAGCTTGCCCTTGCCAATGAGTAATTTTTCTCATGCAATTGGTCTCAACAGTCCAGATCACAGCAGCCAGGATGAGACAAGGATATAAAACTCAGGCATGGCTTTTATTCGGGCCACAGAGCAAATAGCTGTGAGAGGTGGTAGGGATCCACAGGCATAGGGAGTGGGGCAGGGGCACGGCACTGCTGAGAGCTTTGCAAGCCTGTTTCACCTCGAATAACTCTCTCCTCTTCTAAAAGAGGAAAGGAAACTGCTTCAACTGAGAGAAGAGGAAGCAGCTGCAGGTAGCCCGTCTGCCTCGTGGGCATTGCTGCAGGGCTGACCATTGCCACCAAGGGCTGACCATTGCCACCAGCATCTCCCTGGGGGCTGCGCGATGCCCCCGGGGGCTGCTGCCCCCCTGGTCCAAATGCAGCCTGCTCTCCAAGCCTCTCTCCCCAAGCTGTCCAGCCAAAACTGTGCACAGCCGATTGCTGCAGAGCTCCCGAGAGGCACGGAGCAGCCCCGCTGCCTTTGGACCCCCCGGTGCCACAGGTGCCCCCTGAGCATCCATCCTTGCATGGCGCAGGGAGCCCTCCCCGAGCGGAGCGGATGGGATTCCAGCCCTCCCCCGGTGCCGAGGAAGCCTCCACGTTGGGTTATTCATCTTTCCCAGAGGGCACGGCTTCATTAGTTAATTAGAGCAACTGTTCTCCTGGGCTTGCCCAGGGTTCTTCTCCGTGCTGGCAGGAGTTTTTGCTGACGCCAGGCAGGTCCTGGAGAGGACCTGGATGTGCTCATTGCATTTGGTGCCCAGGATGCAGCCATCACCCGGGCTGTGCTCGGGACCTGCACCTTTTTCCCAGTGATGGTGACAGGATGGTCCCTCTCCTGGCAAAGCCAAGGGCTCGTCGTACCCTTTAGCAGGCAGCATCACTTGCACCCACATCTCCTAGGGCCTTTCCTGCTGATGCAACTGCACTTGTTATGTAACAGCGATCAGCCAAGATGCTGCTTGCTGCAAATTTGGGACGATGGAGCAGCATCCAGTAGGTTCCTGCTAAATCAGAAATATCTAGATTGCAATTTCTTGGCATCAATGTAATTTTAACGAAAACGATCTTCCTCAAAATCTAGAGCCCTGGTTTGGAGCTCTTGGAGATGGTGAATTGTCTTTCTATAAAGTAAGAATAAACTACAATATTCCCTTTGGTGTAGGCACCACTTACATCCAAAAAGAAATATTCAACGTGATTTCTTTAGTACAGCTTCCACTGAGAGCAGTGTTCATACATAACATATTACCTAGCACTCAGTTTTCTCCAGGGAAATTTTAGTGGTGATATTTGAGGGGGGAAATGTTTTTTATGAGAAAACTTTAATCTGCAGTCCATAAAGGGAACAGGGGCTTTGCATCCCATGGAAAATGTTCCCAGCCTCTACTAACACGGTTTTATCTTCCTCTGCAGGCTTGCTTCTTAAGACAAATTTATCCAGGATCGCGTTTTGTGTTACAGTTTGATTTTTGTTGGTGTGAGGATAATTTCTCATGAGAGAAACTGCCTTAATTTCCCAGCACTTGACAAGGAGCGCGGCTGCGCTTTGTGCTTGCAGCCTTTGTTCTGACGGTCGCAGCCGGCACTGGCATCTCTGCAGCTCCCCACCGGGGATGTGCAGAGGCTGCTCCTTAGCAGGCCCTGGCCATCCTGCAGTCACCACATCATCCCTCCCTTTCCCTGAATCCTGGGGTGTCCCTGGAGCCCCCAGCCCCACCGAGTGCCACCCTCAGTGTCCCACTGGGTGAAACCTGTCCCCTTCTGCACTGGTTTTGCTGTCGGGAGAGCAGCCAGGCCATCCCGGGAGCTTTCCTCACCAAGCCACCTCACTGCCCTCCATGTCCTTCCCGCTCTGGTCACCCCCTGGCTCAGCCAGAGGGTTTTTGCTACGTCTCTATTTGCAAGCTGGCTTCTCTGCAGTTTCATGCTGTTGCCAAGACCTTCCCCCAAGGCTCTCCTGGTTCCTTTTGCTCTGCTTTCACATGCAGCTTGCTGGAGTTCATCCTCTTTCCCATGCTCTTCATTTGCGCCCAGCATCTCCTCCTTGAGGAATGCCCTTTCACATCTAACCGCCCGCTCTGCTTTGCTCTTTGGCCGCGGCGGCTGCGTGCTGACCGTGGAAATCTTGTTAAAGGATGCGTTCATTTACTGGAAGTCTCCAGCATGCTGCTCTGAGCAATCCTCGTGCTGTCTGCAAGCAGTCTGCCCTTCTGGCTAGCCTATTAATTCCGTTGAGCAAGCTCCCTGATTTTTATGCAGTTCCCCTGATGAAGCTAAGCACGACTCGAGTGGCTTTTCTGCTCGACGGAGCAGCTCTTCAGCAGCCCTCGACCAAATCACTGGGGATAAAGTCCTGGGTTCTTCCCCTCCCAGCCGCTCCAAGAAGCACAATAGCAAAAAGCTAAAAATCACCTTTTTCATTCCGCATCCTCAGCTCTCCTTCTGATTCCTCTGCCAAGTGCCCATGCCAGAATACCTTTGCCAAGCACCCTGTGCATTGGGGCTGAAGTTCTGACATGTTCAAGAAATGGGACATGGGCTGTGGATGGCCGTGGGAGCGTGAGACACAGGAGTAGGCAATGGGAGAGAAGGAGGGGTGGAAAATAAGGGTCTGGATGGGTTGCACTGGGAGAAACCATGACCCTCTGCAAGCTCAGGGCTGCTCCCAAGGGCTGGTGGCAGCAGGGTCACTCTGCGTGGATGAGGGACGGCCAGGGATGGAGCAGGGCAGGCAGGGCAGCCCCATGGTCTGAGCAGCGGTGCCGAGCGCGGGTAATGGATGGGTGTGAGCAGGCAGGGAGGTCGGGGCTTGCTCCTGTGATGAGAAAATCATCGAGTGGCTGCAGGGTGCACTGGGCAAATTGCAAAAGGAGGGAGCAGCCGGGCAATACTTTGGGCTTTTATCATCCTCCAGGCGGGCCGTGACAGCCGTGCCTGGCCAGGAGTGAGCTGCAACTGCCCAGCAGGGCTTAGGTTGACCAGATGGACCAAGGCAGTGGAAGGACCTGGTCTTACTGGGATGCCAGTCATAGGAGAGGTGAGGACCTCCTAGCTGGAGGCTGCCCCTACTCCTTTCGAGAGCGCCCTGCAAGGATCTGCAGGCAGGGCCGTGCAGCCGCCCAGTAACCGAGTCACCGGCAGTGCCCTTGGCCGTGCTGCTACCAACATCTCCAACATGTGCTGAAGACACGGCAGCCTTCAGCAGCTGGAGGGACCCGAAACGCTGTCACCCAAAGCTGGCACAAGAAAGGCGGCAGCTCTGGGGAACGTGACGAACCGCAGGTAGGTGAAAGGGGACCTCTCACAGGTGTCCCTGCACCCTCTAGAAGACCTTGAAGCACTTCTGTGTACCAGGGATGTCCCAGCATGGTTCTTTGCAGGTGCTGCATGAGTCCTGGGTACCTGGACCTGCCAGGTCCTGCATGAGTTATGAGGCAAAGTCACCCCCTCTTGCTGCTTCCAACCCTCAGAAAATCTGATCTAGGGGAGATCAGCACCCAGCAGGACCTGGGAACAGGGCGCTTTGTTCCCCACGGTGACACCAGGCAGCTTGGTCACGGCTTCCTACTAGCTTAGATGTCTCAAGGGGCCTCTTGCCAGGCTCTGCCAGCTGCTGTCCCTGTGGGCACGTGTGGGCAGTGCGAAAAGGAGGGACGGGCCGTGCCTCTGTGCACAGCCTGCTGCAGGGCTCAATAATTCAGGCCAGGCACATTAAAGTTGCATGATGTGCAACTGCTGTCTGCGGTGACAGGCTGCGCCAGCCCCGCCGTCTGGCCCGGCAGGCAGGGCCCGGGGGAGGCCCTGCAGGGAGCCAGGCTGGGGGCGGCCACCCGAGCGCCCCTGCAGTGGGGCAGGGGGTGTGGGGTGACAAGAGGGTTTGTGGGGAGCCTGGAGCTTCAGGACACCCGTTTCAAGGGAGCGCTGCCCCAAGTGGTGCCTCCATGCCCTGGGTGCCGGGCTCCCCTTGCAAGCTGATGCCCACGTTCCTCCTGTCTCCCCATCTCCCTGCACCTCCCAGCCCCTATGGGAGCCCCTATGGGAGCCCCTATGGGAGCCTCTATGGGAGCCCCTATGGGGCTGGGAACCTCCATCCCTTGCCAGCGTGGGAAGAGGCAAAGCTCCTCCACGGAGAACTCGGGGACAGGCTGCTCGGGGAGCCGGTTGCCATGGGGATGTCAGATGTACCTGGTTGTTATAGGGACACCGTTGTCATGGCGACGAGGTTGCCGTGCCTGGGAGAGGCAGGGATGGAGTATCCGGAAGGCTGTTGGCAGTGGCTGCAGGAAGCGGGGGGCTTGTAGGTGGGTGGCACGGGGACCCAACAGGCTGGGAGCCCAAAGTCACCCAGGGCTCTAGGGCAGGGTGTCACCTACCCTGGTCTGAGGCTCTGGTGGCAGAGGGTGCTCTGGTCTCCTGCACCCACCCTTGGGACACGCAGTGAATACAGTGACGTGCCCGATGCTGGGGCCATCCTTGCCTTGGGCTCATCCTGCTCCTGAAAGGGTGCAAAGCGCCTCCCTGCAGGACTGTTGCCCTCAGAGTGTCCTGCAAGGCAGTGTCTGTGCCCCAGGGTGAGCAGGGAAGCCAGGTGATTCCCGGCGGGAAGGGGATGTGCTGCCGTGGGGGCCAGGCTGCTGAGCTGGGCTCATGCAGAGCACTTGGATCTGCCCCATGCTCCCTGGCTAGGCTCCCTCCTCTGAGCCCGCTCAGCTGCTAAGCCTGTCCTTGAGATGAAAAATGGGATTGCAAGTTTAATTAAAAGGAAGGCAAGTGCCTAAGCAGCCAGCAGAAGCCGAAGCCAAGGGAAGGCTGCGCTTGGCTCCTTACGGCCTCGCCGGGCTCCTCTGCCACCACGGGTATCGGGCTCAGGGCAGCCCACACGTGCACCCTGCACAGGATGAGCTGAGCCCGCAGCCGTGCAGGGATCTCTGCCCAGACCATGCAGCATGTGTGTGTGTCCTTGCCCCCCTTGCAGCCTGCTGAGGCCCCAGGAGGTGCTGTGCGCTCCCTGCAGAGCATCCCCTGCCTGGTATCTCACATGAGAATGAAACAATTCATGGACATCCTGCCAACACGGGATGCTAGGACCTCTCCAGGCTGCTGGGACAGGATGGTGTGCGGAGCACTGAGCTCCCCACGAAACAGGCCCTGCTTGAGTGTGGACCATGCCCTAGGCCAGGGAGTCAGGCGGGGTGGCCGGTCCCCGCGCTCGAGCGCCTGGTTCACGTAGAGGCTCTTTGGAAAGCGGAGCTGCTCGTCCTCTGGGGGCGGCTACTGCCAAGGAGATGCAATTGGACTTGGCGAAGTGAGCAACGTTTTTAATTAAAAATTAATCCTTAATCGGCGGCCTGGCTGGACCAGACGCAGCGTTTTGTGTGGCACAGGAAGGGCAGCAGGATGAGCTAACTGTGAGGCGGGGGCGGTGGGTGCAGACACCGTGTCTGGTGCCGGCTGTCCGTGTGCAGGGACAGGGAACAAGAACAGACCCTGCCGCTGGCCGGGCCTCCAGCATGGGGACACCAGCAGCAGAGGCTGAGCTACACCAGGAGCAAAGGCTGAGCTACACCAGGAGCAAAGGCTGAGCTTCCTGCAGCTGCTCTGGGCACAGAGCCGTGGGCTCCCAAAGCCTGGCCCCGGGCAGGGACACAGGCAGCGGTGGGCAATACAAGCTGGACCCTGTCCAGCAGAGGATGAGGCACAGGGCAGCCAGGGCAGGAGGTGCCAGCCCAAGGCTGACGCTTGCAGAGGCTGCAGCCCTCGCACCGCTCTGGCCGTCCCCATGCGCGCTGTGCCCACTGCCTGCCCCGCAGCGCCGCTCCGGCCCGCCGGAGCCCGGCTCCCCGGCAGCAGGTTTAATTAGATTGCAATCCTATTAGAGAGCTGCCTGCCCGCCCGCGGCCGCTAATCCTGTTAGGCATCCAGTAAATCTCCCTGCTCCGGGCTGGGTCCCGGGGGCAGCGGGAGGGAGCAGCGGGCGGGTGGCTGTCCCGGCGCTCCAGCCTTGCCAGGGTGTCCGGGAGCAGGGCTGACCCCAGAAAGCCCCTGTGGGGCTGCAGTGGGGCTGGCCGTGGCCCTGCAGCAGGTGACACGGGGGGCTCCGCGCAGCCTCACATTGCCCAGGGGCACGAGGACCGTGGTGCTGAGCAAGGGGAGGTGCGGGACACGGGTGGAGATGCCCCCTGCCTGGGCCACGTGCTGAGCCCAGGTATTTGCCACCAAGTCCTGGTGTTCGCCAGCTCTGGGCAGTGCTGTGCTCACAGGCCTGACCACGGCAGGGACAAGAAGCAGGAGCTGGGACAGGGTTGCCTGGTGTCCTGGGTCTGCCCTGGGATGCTGAGCCTGATGCAGAGGGCTGCATGGAGGGACTGGTGCGGCCAGAGGCAGCACTGCATCCCTGGCCATGTCCCTGACGGGCACTGAGGAGCAGGGCACCAACACAGCGGGTGTCAGCTCTGGCAGGGCAGGAGGGGAGCCCTGTGTGCCAGCGCAGAGGTGCAGCTAGCACCGCAGGGCGGGATGCACAGGCAACAGCCCCGCGTCTGCTGGCTGCAGAGCCTGGGCGCTGAGCCCCTGCACCCGGCCAGCACCGAGCCAGGGCCCAAGCTCCACGGCTGCGGTGCCCTCCTGCCCGGCTGCTCCACGTCCTCGGGCTGTGAGGGCCGTTCCATAGCAGCACAGACGGATCATGTTCCAGTCTGCCCTGCAAACGCCCCTCATGGCTCCAAGCCCTAGACAGACACAGTCCAGGGAGCCCCAACCCGAGGCTGGTGCTGAGGGACCCGTATGACACCCGCAGCCCAGGAATCCCATTCCTCCATCCCCAGTCAGGTCTCCAGATGCCCGGAGAAGAGGTGAGCATGGCCAGGAGGGCACCAGCCCGGCCAGGGCTGCTCCGGCACCCCCAGCGCCACCTCCTCATCCAGACCCCCCGTCCTGCACCGGACCGAACTACAGCAACTCCTGGAAACAAGTTCAGCCAGGCTGTAATTGCAGTAACAGGGGGCACTGGCGGCTCTGCGCCCACCCGCAGGAGTCCTGGTGCTCCCGGACGGGCAGCGCAGCTGCGCCCGGACAAGGTGCCCACAGCACTCATCCTGCCCGGAATCTGGAGCACCGGGCAAAGCCCGTGCAGGCAGGAAGCAGCTTCCTGGTCGCACGGGGCTGCTGTCCGTGCCTCCCGCCGGAGCATTCCAGCACTGAGGAGTCCGGGATGGTGGCATCAGCTGGTGCAGATGCTGTTGATGGAGGCCACGGCGGGGTCGACCAGGCCCAGCTCCTCCTGCTCGTTGACGCAGAGCTGGTAGCCGCAGCCCTTGCGGCGGGGCAGCGGCCCCAGGCGCGCGCTGGCCTTGGCGCGCGGCGGCAGCAGGAAGCCCACGCTGCCGGCGATGAGCAGGTGCCAGATGCTGTGGATGTAGAAGTAGTTCTCCTCGGTCTCCACGAAGGCGTAGAGCAGCACGGCGGCGGCGGCGATGAGCGCGCCGGGGCACAGGTAGAACGCCCAGCGCTTCCACGTCGGCGGGTAGCAGTGGCGGCGGCGGATCGTGCGAGTCGTCTGCGGGGTGGGGAGAGTGGGGACGTGAGCACCAGGGAACAGGGCGGACACACATCCCCGATTCATAAATTCATAGACTCCTTAAGGTTGGAAGGGACCTCAGAGGTCATTTAGTCCAACCCCCCTGCACACGCAGGGTCACCTAGAGCACATGGCACAGAGCTGCGTCCAAGTGGGTTTGGAAGATCTCCAGAGAAGGAGACTCCACAGCCTCTCTAGGCAGCCTGTTCCAGGGCTCTGTCACCCTCACTGTCAAGGAATTTTTCCTTAAGTCTCTGTGGAACTTTTGGTGCTTCAGTTTGTGGCTCTTTCCTCTAGTTCTATCAGTGTCCACCACTGAAAAGAGGTGGTCCCATCCTCCTCACTGCCTCCCTTGAGGTATTTGTGTACACTGATCAGGTCCCCCTCAGCCTTCTCTCCTTCAGGCTAAACCGGCCCAGCTCTCTCAGGCCTGATCCTGGCTGATTCGATCCTGGAGGAGTGCTCATTCCCAATGGGAAGGTCGATGGCAGCTGGCGTGGCGGAGGAGAGAGGAAACCCGCGGCGCTGGCTGGCCGGGCAGCGATGGGGACGCAGGGGGATGGGGCAGGATGGGGCACCACGAGCAGCCCGGGCTCCTTACCCAGGCGATGGCCATGATGCCTAAGGCGAAGAGGCTGGGCCCCAGGAGGTTCCAGAGGCCGTGGCGGTCCATCTGCAGAGCCATGGAGAGCAGCATGGCGCCCAGCAGGTACAGCACCTGCGGCGGCAGCGGGGCGCCCGTGAGGCCGGGCACGTGCCGGGATGCCCTCCCTGGGCACCCTGGTGCCCCTCTCCCCGCACTCACCTGCTTCACCACGGGCTGGAGACGGGCCATGGCGATGACGGTGACCCAGACGGACATGAGGGAGCCCAGGAAGTCGCAGAACTGCAGCACGTCGTACTCCATGATGCAGAAGACCACGATGCCCGGCTGGTCGCAGGCGTGGTAGAACTGGGTTCGGATGAGAAGGGGTGAGAGCTGCCCCCAGCCCCCCCAGCCCCTTGCTCAGCCCCCCGCCACACTCACGGTGGAGAAGAACATGGTGAAGATGTAGACAGCGGCTTCCAGGAGGTAGTGGCTGCGAACGGCGATGGCCACGGGAGGCACGAACATGACGTTGCTGAGGCACAGCAGCAGCGTGGAGAGGAGCTGGAAGCCGTAGGAGAAGGCCTCAGCGTTGTCCGTGCAGCCCCAGCCATTCCAGCCTGCAGGCAAGGGACAGCCCCGTCACCCTTGCAGCAGGAGGGAGCAGAGAAGCCCCTTTGGAGCACCCCGCGGAGACCAAGTCTCACAGGGGACAGCGGCGGCAGCCAGGACGGGAGGGGAGGACTCCGGGGCCGGGCGCCGCGGGGCAGCTCTCACCTGCTTTGCACTCGCAGGCAGCGTACAGGTAGTTGTTGGTGCGCAGCAGCTTGCACTGCCCGTAGATGCCGCAGTCGTCGATGCAGGGCGAGAGGTAGGCGCGCAGGTAGACCTCAGCCGTCACGTTGGCGCAGGGCTCGAACCTGCCGCGCGGGAGCACGGCGTCGGCGCCCTGCCCACGCGCGCCTCCAGCCCAGCAGCCTGCCCCGCGCGCCCCAAACCCCCCGTGCAGCCCCCATCTCGCCAAGGCACCTGCTGCACTCGGTGCAGCACCCAGGCTTGCTGGCCAGGGGAGGCACAGGGCTCACGGGGAGGGAAATGAAGTGGTTTTGGTGTCTGCTGGGGCACCTTGGAGCTGGTCCTCAGGGGTCTTTGCAATGCAATTGTCTGCACCAGGGCAGCCAAGTAGAAGGGACCGTGGCTACGGTTAGACACACGTTGCCTTAAGCTACACACTCAGCTGGCTCTGATTTTGTCTGGGTTTTGCTGTGCAGACACAATGCCCTGCAAAGCCTTTTTCTGCCTGCATCAGGAGAGGACTGAGTGCAACCGGCAACCTAAAGTGATCGGGAAACACAGGCGAGGAGCTGGCGCGTGCAGAGCACCGCCGCCACCGCTCGCCTCCCACGCACACAGCTTCCCGCACGCCCCCTTGCACGCCCCACACATGTGCAGCCTCCAGCGAGCAGGGACACAGGAGGCACACGCCTGCGTAACCCACACGTGCCTGCTCTCCATGTATGGGTTTGCACAGCCAAACCTGCACACATGTGTGTGAAGAACGCACACAAGCCTGTCTGTGTGCACCTACCCGGAGAGGCAAACAGAGCCATTAACACCCGTGACCCAAATACACACGCAGCACTGTCTGCAGGGCATGCATGCACCTAGGCACGCACTCTGCACTGTCTGCAGAGTGCACGGCCTCACAGGGACATGCACATGCACAGACACACACACACGAGAGCCTCTCTCCTCCCCAGGGCTCTCAGCCAGATGCCCAGGATGGCAGCAGAGCTGCAGACACGCAGCCAATGCCTGGAGATGCGGAGCAGAGCAGGGGCAGAGCAGCCTGGCCGGGGCTGCCCCTCCTCCCCGCAGACATGCAGCCAGGCCCCGTCTCGCAGTGACAGCCCCGTCCCCCGCCAGGCACGGGGACGGGTACAGATGGGCCCCGCCGCGGAGACGGGCGGGCACCAACAGACACGCTGCCCTCGCACACTGCCAGGCGCTTCCTTAGCAGAGAGACGCAGGCTGCAGCCGTGGGGCCCCACAGATGGCCAGGCAGGCGCTAGCTCGAGCGCAACGGGCCCACGCAGGCGCTCGCACGCAGACACGGCGCCCACGGAGCCACGTGCGCCATGACGCAGAGCCGCCGAGGCCGGCACGCAGCGGCCGGTGGCTGGGCCGCGCTGGGCTCGTCCGTGCCGGGCTCCTACCCGTGCTCCGTGGCGCAGAGGGAGCGCAGGCTCAGGTACCAGCTGCCCGTCTGTGGGTAGGGGATGCGCAGGCGGCTCAGGCTGGCCGAGGCGTTGACGGAGAGCAGGAAACCCGCCAGGGACTCTGCGGCCAAGGAAAGGGCTGGGTGAGCCAGGCAGGTGCAGCGCCGTCCCCTCGGCAGAGCGGTGCCAGGGTGCCCTGCGGCTCCGCGGTGTCCTCGGCCCTGGGGCAGATGCCCCTGCAGCCTCTGCAGCCGCCGTGCCCTGCGGCGCGGGCTGCGGAGGTGCCACGCGCAGGGCAGGACCGGCGCGCGCCGCGCCGCCCGGCCTACCTGTGGCGCAGGTGACGGACGCGTTGTCCCCGGACGTCAGCGGGACCTCGTGGTTGAGGCACCCGAACACCGTCACGTTTTCACCGCACAGGGAGCTCTGCGGGCAGAGTAAAACAGTCCTAAACGAGTGCTGGGGGTGCCCCCTGCTCAGATAGCGCCCGGCTCGTGTCACACCGCCTTGCAGCACCCCAAATCATTGCCCATCACCGAAACCACCCCAATCCAGCCCCTTATCTGACCCCCACATCCATCACCCAAGAGGACCCTAAATCTTGCTCACTCTCCTGCCCCAACAGTGCCTCATTCCGGATCCCATCACCTACGAGCACCCCAGTCCACTGCCCCGTCACAGCCCCAGCAAGGCCCCCATCCCATCCGTTCTTCCCACCCAGCTCCCACCCGTCCCGCACAGGCTGCCCCACGTGTCTGGCCCCGTTTGGGGCCCCGCGGCTGCCTCACCACGTTGAGCCGCAGCTCCAGGTTGAGCACCCCGCCGCTGTCCAGCACGGGCAGCAGGTTGATGACGAAGACAGCGGGGCGGTCGGGCGGCACCGACACGTTGGGCCCGAAGAAGATGTAGAAGTGGACGGAGAAGGTGTCGAGCTCGTTGCGCAGCGTGGGCCGCACGGGCCAGCACCGCTCGCCCGCCGGCAGCGCCGCGGGGGCGCCGCTCGGCTGCCGGGTGCTGTTGGGGCCGGCGGGCGGGGGGCTGTCGGCCAGGGCCAAGCCGCCCGCCGAGCCGAAGGAGTGCGGCATGTTCATGGAGGCACTGGGGGGCAGGAAGGGCGGCCGGGCCACGCTGGCTCTGGAGCAGTCTGGGGGGCAGAGGCGTCACCCCCGGTGCCGCGCAGCCCCGCCTGCCCCTAGCCCCCTCCGCCCTCTTCCCTTAGTTCCTGCCTCCTCTCCACACACATATCCCGGCACCTCCCAGTGTTCTCATCACTGCAGACATCCCCTGCACCAATTCCCACGCAGGGCCGTGATCCGGCCCCGCTCCCGCTGCACTCCCTCACCTGTGAGCTGCACGGTGAGCTGGAAGGAGACGGTGCCGGGCACGCCGGGGTGCCTCTCCACCAGCACGTAGTACCAGTGCTGCCAGAAGGGCAGGTCCAGCGCCAGGCGGCACGGCGCCTGCTCCCGGCAGTCCAGCGCCGTGGAGTTGTGCAGCGGCGGCGCCTTGGCCCGCACGCGCAGCCACAGCGGGCAGCCCCCGGCGCCGCGGCACCGCAGCACCTCCACCTGCACGCGCCACGTGTAGCTGGGCACGAACACCCTGCAGCGGGAAGGGGCACCCTCAGCTCGCCCGCCGGCAGGGCGCACGCGCCAGCCCCTCTGCGCCTCGGGGGTCCCCTCGTCAGGCCGCCCTGCACTCACTTGTAGAGGCAGGAGCGGTTGTGGGGGGCCATGCTCTGCTCGCTGGCGTAGCCGGGGTACAGCACGGCGATGTTCACCAGGCGCTGCACGATGAGCTGCGGCTGGAAGAGATACTGGCACTCCTCGTAGAGCCCCTGCGCCAGCAGCGCCGTCAGCGTGGGGCAGCCGGGCCCTGCTCCCCTCCCCCGGACACCCCCAGGGCCCCGCGGCGGGGGCGACAGCCCTCCTGCCCCCCGTATGGCTCCACTCGGGGCACTTGTCCCGGTGCCTCCAGCCCAAGCAGGGTCCCACCGCCAGCCCCAAGCCCGTGCTCCCCCTCAGCCCTTCACCTTGACAGAGATCTTGCCCTCATCTTTGGGCAGGTGGGCAGCCAGGAACCAGTCCCCGGGCAGCGGGCTGGTGACATTGAACACCCCCGTGGTCCGGTTCGGCAGGGTCCACGTGAGCGTCAGCGCGAAGGAGCCAGGGACAGCCGTGTCCCTGGGGAAGTGCGTGTGCAGCGGGTTAATGACAGGAGGAGCCCCTGAGCGGAAATACCTACGGGAGAGACGGCCGTTAGCAGGGCTCCATGGTGGGGACAGCCCACCTTGCATGCGTGGGCCTGTCCTCCATGCACTTAACATACTAACATGCTACTTGGCATATTAGCAATCTCACAGACGCCACAGCCAAGCCTCCTGCAAGCTGGGCACCCGCTGGAGACCCTGAGCTTGCTTAGATGTGCGCTCAAGCAAAACTGCTCATGCATGAGCTGTGCAAAGGGGTCGAGTGTGCAGCGGGTGCTGGAAGGATGAACTGGAGGGTGCACATTGACTACATATGCCTGCAGGTGCACACATGTATATATGCACACGTATGTGCATGCATATGTATGCCTGTACGTGGGTGCACATACACATATGTTGCTCCATACCATGCATGGGGCTAAATGTGAGCACACAGGCAGGTGTAACCACCCGCGTGCAAGCAAGGAGCTGACAGGCTCCAGGGCACGTCTGGGCACGGGGCAGGCAGGGACGGGCAGGGAACAGACAGGGGAGGGCTGCTTACTCACACGGTGATGCTGCGGTCTGGGCACTGGTCCCCGAAGGTGCCACCCTGCTCCTTGAAGGTGATGAGGTTCCAGACGGCGATGACCGTGTCCTCGGGGATGTGGAAGTGGAAGAGCTCGATGCTGGCAAAGGAGCGGAAGGGGCTGAGCTTGCGTGGTGTGCGGGTGAAGTAGTCGGTCACGAAGAGCCCGTCTGTGGGGGAGACCCGAGGGGCTCTCAGCAGGGTGCTGTGGCAGCCCAGGCCCTGCTCCAGCCCCGCCAGGCTCTGAACACGACCTGGACTCGGCAGCCTGGGGGCAGGAGAGGCTGCAGCTGTGCCAGGTCCCCGTGTCCCCAGGGCTGATGTCAGCGGTGCCCAGCTGCGCGCCCAGCCTTGGCACCGTCTGCATCGTGCCGGGCTCAGCGTGGCCCCAAGCCCAGGGCATGGGGCTGAACTGGGCTGTTGTTCACGAGCTTGAGGGAGTCCTAGGCCCTGGTTGTGCTGGGCTCTGCTCAGGCACATCCAGGCTCTTTCAACTTGTCATTCTCCCCAGCGATGACCTGTTCCCTACCCTTTGCATGTGATAAAGGGCGGTTCCTGATGGCTCCATCCCCGCTCCATCAGGACCCACAGATCTCCCCTTCGCTGCCTGCTGAGGGATGTCAGCACAGAGCCCTCCACAAACAGCGTGCAGAATCCCACCCTGGAGGTGCAGCAGCAAGGCGAGAGCGCAGCACTGCCCGCGCAGCCCCTCTCCTCTCCCTGCTGTGCGGGGGAAGGATGCTGCACATATGCGGGCACATATGCGCTCGTGGGTGCTGTCTGCCCGCAGGGGGAAGCGGAGGTCTGTACACCCACATGCCTGGCCGTGCGTGACTGTGAACAGCACCGCTGGGTGCCAGACGCTCCCTGCAGCCCCCTGCACCCCCTGGGGCTGCATCCCCCTGCCCGACAGTGCCGGGGTTCCCAGGAGCCCTGGCAGCCACTTCCTTGGCAGGTGGACGCCAGGAAGCCCTGATCTTTAGGTAGGAGGTGCAAGGTTACCCTGCTGCTGTACAGACCCCAGTGCGCGGCCGGGGGGCACCCGGAGCGGCATTCCCGCGGCTCTCCCGGCCGGAGCGAGGCGGGCGCCGGGAGCGCGGCCCGCGCCGCCGCTCAGCACCGCGGACAGCTCC